TGCCTAGGCGGGTCTCGAACCCGCAGGTTCAGGCAATCCACTCACCTCAGCCTCCCAAAGCCACGGGATTACAGGCTGAGCCACCGAGCCCGGCTTTCTTGTTACTTTTATTTGTTTGTTTGTTTACGAGTTGGAGTCCCTCACTCTATTGCCCAGGCTGGAGTGCAATGGCATGTTCACAGCCACTGCAGCCTTGACCTGCTTGAACTACTTCCAGCTACTTGGAAGGCTGAGGTGGAAGGATCATCTGAACCAAGAAGGTCGAGGCTGTGGTGGCTGTGAGCAACAGAATGAGACTCTGACTCAAAAAAAAAAAAAAAAAAAGTGACGGGAGTCTTGCTGTCCTGGGAACCATTCTGACTTTTCTAGAAACTTTTGAAACCGTATGTCTATCTCATGATTTAAAACTCTCAGAGTCATCTAGTTTCTTAATTTTCAAATTCTTAAGAAGATATCCAATTGTGTCCAATATATATTTTAAAAAGGTAAAGGAGCCAGGCACGGTGGCTCACACCTATAATCTCAGCACTTTGGGAGGCTAAGGTGAGAGGATTGCTTGAGCCCAGGGGTTCAAGAGCAGCCTGGGCAACTAGTGATACCTCATCTCTACAATAAATCAAAAAATTAGCCGGGCATGGGGGTACATGCCTGTAGTTCCAGCTACTTGAAAGGCTGAGGCAGAAGGATTGCCTGAACCTAGCAGGTGGAGGCTGCGGTGGCTGGGAGTGTGCCACTGTTCTCCAGAGTGAGATTCCAACTCAAAAAATAAAAAAAAAGTAAATGAACACTCCACCACAGAGTAACCATCTAATATAACACACATACCAGCATAATAAAATTAAATCAAGTTAATCTAAGCAAAGGTCTACCGGATCAGTGTGTTCCCAATCTGGTGCCGTATTTCATTCCACTCTTCCTTGCTTTTACGAGGCCAAGAATTCAGGTTCAATTCTGGTTCACTGGGTCTGTGGTTCAACTTCATTGCCAGTGTGTCTTTCCTCTTCACTTTGTTGGCCAGAGCACCTTTGCACAAGGAGAAGAAAAACATGTAGAAACTTGAAGCCAAAGACTCAAACTCACCTGGAGCTAGCCAAGAGTCTGAACAAAAACAAGAGGGGATGCCCCCAAAAATGGAATTATCTTTTGGAGGGTGGGCCCCTTATAGTACAGGCTTCCCCTGCTATGTAAATGTTCTAGGAACCCATCGGCATTAGTGTACCAGCTAGTGTTGTTGAAAGAGGCTGCGTTTGGCTTCAGTGATTTTTTTTTGGAGGTTCCTTCAAACTGTTTGCCCATTTTAGGATGGGTGATTTACGAGCACATCTGCCCACACTGTTCTGAGTGTTCAGTTTTTAACCCCAAATGGCAGAAGCTTCATGCCCACCCCTCCCTATTCACTGGATCTTGCCATGAGTGACTTTTTTTTTGTTTCCCCGGACAAGAAAAGTACTTATAGGGAAATGTTTTGCCAATGTGGAAGAGGTGAAACACAAAACAGCAGAAGCACTAAAAGGCATTAAAATTGACAAGTCCAAAAACCCTTTTGAGCAGTGGAAAAAGTGTCTTGATAGGTGTATTGCATCAAATGGCAAATACTTTGAAGATAACTAAAGTTTAAATATGTAAGAATAAATACACAATTTTTAATAAATAAATTCTGGTTTTTTTTGTGGGGAGATCCCCCTCATGTAATTTAACTCCCAGTCTCCCACTTGACCTCAAATGATCCAGCCAAACATTGAAGTGAAGGTAAAGTTGAAGAAATCTAAAAATCTTTTTAGCTGGATGGAAAAAAGATACCTTTCCTCTTCTCAGATCTCTATATTTTTCTCTTTAGGAAGAGTTGCTAGAAAAGAGAGGATCTAAGCACAGGATCACCTTCTGAATTAAAACATAATGGTTTTCACACTAACACACCTCATAGTCTGTTTTTAAAGTTGCTTTTCCACTTTGTTTTTTTTTTTGAGTCAGAGTCTCACTCTCACTCGGGCTGAAGTGCAGTGACATACTCGTGGCCACCGCAGCCTCGACCTGCTGGCTCAGGTGATCCTTCTACCTCAGCCTTCCAAGTAGCTGGAACTATAGGCATGTTCCACTATGCCCAGCTAATTTTTTGATTTATTGTAGAGATGAGGTCTCGCCAAGTTGCCCAGGCGGGTCTCGAACTCGTGGGCTTAGGCAATCCTCTCACTTTGGCCTCCCAAAGTGCTGGAATTATAGGCGTGAGGCATCACGCCCGGCCTTGCTTTTCCACTTTTAAAAACCAAGATTCCATTATTCACAAAGATTTGTGAGCATAAACATGGGTTATTTTTCTCTGTCCTATGACAAGTTCATCAGATTAAAGGAAAGCATCACTTCTGTCTTTTCAATTTAGCCCACGTGCCAGCTTTCCTCTACTCTGTACTCTTTAATATCATTAAAGTGGGTAGCTTTAAAATCAGAAACAAAAACCTGGAATGAGTTATAGCCACTATAAAAAAAGTATGAAGGTTATTTAAAAAACTCGTCAGGCACAGTGGCTCATACTTATAATCCCAGCACTCTGGGAGGTAGAGGCAAGAAGACTGCCTGAGCCCAGGGGTTCAAGACCAGCTTGGGCAACTTGGCAAGACCTTGTCTCTACAATAAATAAAAAAATTAGCCGGGCATGGTAGTGTGCACCTGTCCTTCTACTTGGAATGCTAAGTTGGAAGGATTGCCTGAGCCCAGCAGGTCAAGGCTGCAGTGGCCATGATCGTGTCACTGCACTAGATCTTGGGTAACAGAGTGAGACTCTGACTTAAAGACAAACAAACAAACAAACAAAATTCTAAAAAAATATCTACTACAACCACATTGTTGAGTTTATATCACAAAGAAAGGAAATCAGCACATGAAAGAGATATCTACACTCCCCAGTTTGTCATAGTACTATTTACTATAAACCAAGACATGGAATCAGCCTAAATGTCTTTCAACAGATGAATGGATAAAGAAAAAGTGGTATATATACACAACACAACATTATTCCACCATAAAAAATAATAAAACTTGTTATTTGCAACAACATGGATGAAACTGGAAGACATTATGTTAAGTGAAAAAGCCAGGTACAGAAAGACAAATGTTATATGTTCTCACTCATATGTGAGAGCTTAAAAAAAAATTGATCTCATGGAGGTAGAGAACAGAATGGTGGTTACCAGAGGTTGAGAAGGGTTGAGGGGAGGAGGGATAAAGAGGTTGGTTAATGGGTACAAAAATACAGTTAGATAGAAGGAATAAGATCTTGTATTTGGCAAAACAATAGAGTGACTGTAGTTAGTAATTTATTGTATGTTTTAAAATAATTAGGAGAGTAGATCTGGCCAGGCAGGGTGTTTCACGCCTGTAATCCCAGCACTTTGTGAGAGCAAGGTGGGAGGATTGCTTGAGGCCAGGAATTCAAGAGTAGATTTGAAATGTTCCCAATACAAATACATGTTTGATGTGATGGCTATCCCAATTCCCCAGCTTTGACCATTATACACTGTATGCTTTTATCAAAATATCACATGTACCCCCCATAAATATGTACAACTGTTATATATATATAAAAACTAAAAGCTAGGTGCGGTGGCTCACACATGGGAGATGGAGGTGAGAGGATTGCCTGAGCCCGCAGGTTCGAGACCCGCCTGGGCAACTTGGTGAGACCTCATCTCTACAATAAATCAAAAATTAGCTGGGCGTGGTAGCACATGAAAGTTCCGGCTACCTGTAGTTCCGGCTACTCGGAAGGCTGAGGCGGAAGGATTGCTGGAGCCTAGCAGGTTGAGGCTGTGGTGGCCACGAACGGCCACTGCACTCCAGTCTGAGCGATAGAGTGAGACTCCAACTCAAAAAACCAAAAAAAAAACCCCCAAAAAAACCCAAACAAACCGAAAAGCAACAAAAACAACAAAAAGAAAAACAGCGGATGACAGAAGGGGCAAAGAGTCCTGCACAGTGGAGTCCTACATCAGCTACCCAGCTGAATCAAGAGGAGAGGATGCCTGTTGTTTCCACTCATCTTATAATTGCTAAGATCAGCAAGTAGCTTTATCTGTAAATGCATTTTCTCTTTTGCTTCTCCCTCCCTTTCTTACTGTGATGGCTTTCATCTTCATCTTCTTCATCTCGGTACTGGATGGGACCCTCTGAATCAGAATCGCTTTCCTTCTCTTCTTCTTCCTCCTGCAGACACTGTGGTAGTTTAGGAATGACTGAGGTAGATATCACATCTTCACTGAATGTAGATGGACAGGTTTGCTCCTCTTCTTCATCGTCTGGACTAACAAATTAACATAATTACATTTTCTTTTCAGAAACAAAGAGGATAACTGTGTTTTAAGACAAAGGACTGAAATAACTTTGAAAAAAATCCATGAATTTAATAGCTTATAATTCACTCCCTCCCTTTAGTACTCTTAGTAATCAACTTTTTAGCAGCTATTAACCTATGTAGCTCTGGGTTCAGATCCTAGCTCTACTACATATTAGGCATTGTTGCTTTCCAAAATTTGTCTAATTTCATTCTAACAAGCCTACAGAGTAGATATTATTCCCATTTACAGATGAGATACGAAAGAGCAGAAAGGTTAAGCAACTTACACTACTACTAGCTAAGTAACTACTCTACTACTAGGTAGTGCTAAAATTTGAAACCAGAGTTATTTTATTCCAAGGCAAATGCTCTTAAGAACCATGCTATATATCAACTTCCCTGTATCATATAAAACTAATAGTTTTAATTTTCAAGTACACAAGTTTGTAATTTTTGTGTATCATGGAACTCTCCATGAAAAAAAAGTTATAGAAACTAGTAGGGGCTAATACACATAACAAAAAAAAAAAAAAAAAAAAGAAAGGATGAAGGGAAGAAGGGAAGAAAGGAAGAAAGAAAGAAAAAGAGTTCTAAATTCTAGAACTTATCCTTTTGGCAGAGTATCCTTTGTACTTTAAATTTACTCACATTTTCTTTTTATAAGTAATTTTTTTCAACAGGACTATGTAGAGAAAAGAAGAAATAAGAGGCACTTACACTTTCAGCATTTCAATAGTGACAGGAAGTGACCTGGTCCGACCCAGGGTACTGATATCCTCAGAAAAGTTGTCACTGTTCTCGAAGAGCAATGAATGAGCTCTGTGAGAGCCCTCCAAGGGAGGAGTCATGGGAAGTGGGCTGGTCAGGGCCTGCTGGATTCGAATATGCAATGGGAGTGGAGGTAGCCTAGAGGGTACATGGGGCTCCCCAAAACTCTGGTCCAATATCCTCTTGGGGGCTTCCTTTTTCTGATCTTCCTGATGGGGAACCTCTTGGGGTAGATCTAAGGATGGTGGGAATTCAACTTCTGGAACAACTTGAAAAGTCTTAGCAGGGAATTGAGGGGAACGGGGAGGGTCTGGAGGTATATGAGTAGGCAGTGGAGGGGATGGAGAGGGAGGTGGGATCATCGGTGGTGGTTCAGAGCACACAGAGCACATGTTCTTCTCTCTTTGGTCACCTGATGTTTTTGTGGTGAGAGCAGCAGCAGACTCTGGGGTGGGTACCAACGTTGATGGAATGCCTCTCTTAGGTGGTAAGGGTGGGGATGGTTTTGATAACAATGTACCACTGTTTATTGCTTGAGACAGTTCAGCTGGAAAAGACAGAGCAACACCTCAATTTAACATGACTTTACAATGTTTTGAAGGACCAGTCCAGGCCTAGAATTAGAATTGAGCTCAGTTTTAATCTTTCAAGCAAATTACATAATTTCATGGCTTTGCCATTCCCTACATATCTTATCCTGAAACAAAATTTATATTTATTCATAAAGAAGGCCTAATAAATGTATAGAGCTATAGGAAGACTCTGAAAAGTAGCTTACTTCGTTGCTAGGACAACTTTTTTTTTTCTTTGAGTTGGAGTCTCACTCTGTCACCCAGGCTAGATTGCAGTGGCAAGCTCACAGCCACCATAGCCTCTACCTGCTGGGCTCAGGTGATCCTTTTGCCTCAGCCTTCCAAGTAGTTGGAACCACAGGCATGTACCACCACATCCAGCTAATTTTTTGATTTATTGTAGAGACGAAGTCTTGACATATTGCTCAGGCTGGCCTCAAACCCCTGAGCTCAGGCAATCCTCTCACCTCTGCCTTCCAAAGTGCTGGGATTACAGGCTTGAGCCACTGCGCCCAGCTGTGACAACTTTTTATAACTTGATCTTGGTGTAAAGTTAATATGACAGAAAAAAGCTGATAAGTTCTTTTGTGTAACAATACACCATTAAAAACTTTAAACATTCTTATAACATTAACAAAAATAAACACTAGTGGGTATTATTACCATATCCTGATATATAATGATACCTAAATATTTTAGCTCTGTATTATAAAACTATCAATAATGACACCTTGTCTAGGCATGGTGGTTCATGCCTGTAATCCCTGCACTTAGTGAGAACGAGGTAGGACTGCTTGAGCTCAGGAGTTTGAGACTGGCCTGGGCAACATAGTGAGACCTTGTCGCCACAAAAAAAAAAATTAGCTGGGCATTGGTAGTGTGTGCCTGTAGTCCCAGCTACTCAAAAGGCTGAGGTGGAAGGATCACCTGAGCCCAGGAGGTTGAGCCTGCCAGAGCTGTGACTGTACCACTGCCTACAGCCTAGGTGACAGTGAGACCCAGGATCAAAAAAAAAAAAAAAAGACATCTTGATATTTACTATCTTTCAGAAGAAAAACTGAGGCCACAGAAGTTAGAGGATTTACTCATGGTCATATTACAAACTGTCATGGTGTCTGCTAGTATCCAGGTCTCCAACTATTTGGCTCTATGGTTTGGAATCTATTGTCCCTGACTTTACTAGTATGCACAGCTCTTAAAGTCCCTTTGTACTTCACCTTCCATGTCCACTCCTACCACATCTTGGGTTACTTGATGGAAGAGCAACCCTTGCCTCCATTAGCATACCAATAGGGCTGAGCACAGTGCCTGGCACATGAGAAGCCCTCATTCCGTAGCATGACAGTGTATATCCCTATTGTTTCCCTAAAGCCTGCAATGACTCAGCAAAGGTGATGATTCAGCAGAGTCCTACTGGAGAACTCCAAATGACCTGCAAGAAGTGGATAATTACATCACACAGAAGCTAACCTTACAAAATAATTAAAGCATAGTTCTCTTGATCACCCACCTCTAACCTTCTACCCAAACCCCTCATTTTGTTCCCAGTGTTCACAAAAGGTTCCACAGGCTTCTCTAAAACAGAATTTTACTTGTCCTAAATCCCATTCCAGTGGAGACATTCAAAGTAAAAGGCCAGCTAATCTTATGATGTTTTAACTTCGCTGATCATAAGTAAATTTTTTTTTTTTTTCAGTTGGAGTCTTACTCTGTTGCCCAGGCTGGAGTGCAGTGGCATACTCATGGCCACCCACTCCAGCATCGACCTGGTGGGCTCCAGCGATCCTTCTACCTCAGCCTTCCAAGTAGCTGGAACCACAGGTGCGTGCCACCACACCTGGCTAATTTTTGACTTACTGTAGAGAAAAGGTCTCGCCAAGTTGCCCAGGCTGGTCTCGAACCCACGGGCTTAGGCAATCCACTCCCTTGGCCTCCTACAGTGCTGGGATTATAGGCTGAGTCACTGAGCCTGACCGCCAGACAAAATTCTTGACCAATCTCAGATTGTCATTTTTTTTTCAGTTTAAAAAAAAATGTTGTCACCTCTGCCTCCCGAGTAGCTGGGACTACAGATCTGTGCCACCACACTTGCTAATTTTTCTGTTTTTTGTAGCAACAAGGTCTCACTTTGTTTCCCAGGCTGGTATGTTTTAAGATTTCAACTGGGTGCAGTGGTTCACGTCTATAATCCTAGCACTGGGAGGCAGAGGCAAGAGGATTGCCTGACCCCCAGGCGACAGAGTGAGACTCTGATTCAAAGATTTCAAAATAAGACTTGATATTTAGTAAACATTTTTTTTTAATAGGAGTCTCACTCTGTTACCCAGTCTAGAGTGCAGTGGCATGCTCACGGCCACTGTAGCCTCAGCCTGCTGGGTCAGGCGATCCTTCCACCTCAGCCTCCTAAGTAGCTGGAACTACAGGAATATGCCACCATGCCCGGCTAATTTTTTTATTTATTGTAGAGATAAGATCTTGCCAAGTTGCCCAGGCTGATCACAGTGCAAATGGTATACTCCTGCCTCTGCCTCCAAAAGTACTGGAATTACAAGTGTGAACCATTGCGTCTGGCCATTTTTTTTTGTTGTTTTTTTTTTGAGTTGGAGTCTCACTCTGTCGCCCAGACTGGAGTGCAGTGGCCGCTCCTGGCCACCGCAGCCTCGACCTGCTGGGCTCAGGCAATTCTTCCGCCTCAGCCTTCCAAGTAGCTGGAACTACATGCACACGCTACCACACCCGACTCATGTTTTGGTTTATTGTAGAGATGAGGTCTCGCCAAGTTGCCCAGGCGGGTCTCGAACCCGCGGGCTCAGGCAATCCACTCACCTCAGCCTCCCAAAGGCACGGGATTACAGGCTGAGCCACCGAGCCCAGCCATTTTTTGTTTTTTTAATAGATAGGGTCTTGCTTTGTGGTCCAGGCTGGAGTACAGTGGCGCCATCATAGCTCACTGCAAACTCGAACTCCTGGGCTCATGTGATCCTCCTGCCTCAGCCTATTGAGTAGCTGTGACTGCAGGTGCATGCCACCATACCCAGCTAATTTTTTCATTTTAAAAATAGAAACAGTCTCACTATGTTGCCCAGGTTGTTCTCAAACTCCTGGCCTCAAGCAACCCTCTAATCCCAAAGTGTTGGGATTACAGGTATGAGCCACCACACCCAGACAAATAATCCATTTATGATTGTAATCAAGTGGGCTCGGTGGCTCAGCCTGTAATCCTGTGCCTTGGGAGGCTGAGGTGAGTGGATTGCCTGAGCCTGCGAGTTCGAGACCTGCTTGGGCAACTTGTTGAGACCTCATCTCTACAATAAATCAAAAAATTAGCCAGGTGTGGTAGCGCACGCCTGTAGTTCTAGCTAGCTACTTGGACGGCTGAGGCGGAAGGATTGCTGAAGCCTAGCAACTTGAGGCTGCGGTAAGCTGGGAACGGCCATTGCACTCTAGTCTGGGCGACGGAGTGAGACTCCCAACTCAAAAAAAAATACCAAAAAAAAAACAAACCCAAATGATTGTAATCATTTTAAGAAAGAAATGAATTTTAATAAAAGCTCTGTAAACTGTCCTATTTTTCCCCTGCTAAAGACCCCTCATGGACTGATGTATATTCCTCAGTCACAAGGCCTATTGTTTTGGGCTATTTACATCAGGTTAAGAGTGACCGCTGCAGTTTAGCCCAGGATATTGTACACATATTATTTTATACTGCCTTAACCAGAAAAAGGTGGAGTGGCACTGGTCTAGAGCAGTGGCTCTCAATGTATGGTCCCTGGACCAGCAGCATCAGCATCATCTGGGAACCTATTAGAAGTGCAAATTCTCAAGTCCATCCCAATTTTACTAAAATCAGAAACTCTAGGGGTAGGACTCAGCAATCTGTTGTAATAAGCCTTCTAGATGGGCCTCATGAGAACACCAGTGAGACAACAGTTGAGAACACCAAAACAGAGGTCTAAGCCAGAAAGTTGAAAAGCCTATGTTCATTTTTTATCTCTCACTAACCACAACCTTGAATGAGTCACAATGTCTTCATGTTCTAATTGCCCTATCTATATAACAGATAAAAATCAATTTCCTGTGGCACAAGGTGGTTTTGAAAATAAGTATGTAAAAGCTCCTTAAGTTCCTCAGAGATAAGTCAACATGACATTATCCATCTAAAGTGGTGATAATAATAATCTTCATTCTGTTTTTATCAAGTTACTCCAACTTGTCATACTCATAATTCTAAGCCTGTTTTTCTTTTCTTTCTTTCTTTCTTTTTTTTTTTTGAGTTGGAGTCTCACTCTGTCACCCAGACTGGAGAGCA